ACAGAATTTTCATCATCCTAATGCTACTCTTCTTTAACTGTATGGCCATCATCCTGATACTACTCTTCTTTAACAATATGGTCATGAGAAGAAGAAGAAAACGAGGAACTGCGGTAGTAAGTAGCACAAGCGCGAGAGAAAGGGATGACATGAGGGGCGCGTTACCGCGTCGCACTGTCTGGCGTGGTGCGCAGTGGGATGCGCCACGCTATCATCAATGTGTTAAACAAAGGCAAAAAATCACTGAATGGAACAGCATTCAAAAACACTACGCATCTCACGTAGGACCTACGAAATGGTAACTGAATGCTTTGATACCTTTTTGCAAAGGTCTCTCAATTTTTCCTGCGCTGTTTTCCGTGCTGCATTGTTGCAATTCTCGTAGACAACTTGGATATCGTCATCATCATCCTCCATGTGGGCTTAAGCGAATCTCCGATTCTGATTCTGCAAACTATCTGAAAATATCGTTTTGACTGTAATTATTCGGTCAGTGAACAACGACATATCAAAGGAAAACAATTTCAGCAAAAAATAGGAAGCGACCATGGGAAGGGCCATGGCTAACGGTTTGGTCGTTCTCTTTTTGGGATGCGCTTCGAACTCGATTACCGTAAACAGTCGTGGTGACAATTTTCAAAACACCGCCCAGAACCCATCGGTTGAATGTGCTGCTAACTTACTACATTAGAGAAATGGACATTCTGTTAACCTGCTCTTATGCATTCAGGATGTGATTGGACGAACAAAAAATGATGCAGTAATTACAAACATTTAATTTGAGAGATGGTAAAACTGCGTGTTATTCTCCTTCAAAAGCAACAGTTTACAAAAGAAGACAGGCGGTACGATGAAACACCCATAGAAGAAGGCAAGTCTGTCCCTTTATATAGAGGATACGACGGAAAGGCGAAGGCAAAGGTACATCTGTGGCAGCTTAGCGAGGCCTTGCGAGGGGTAGTCGCCACCTTCATGGGAAGCCCCGCATCGCGACATTTCCATTTTGAACAGCATTTCACTTCAATGACCTATTTCTCAGTTTGTCTGAGTTATGAGTTACCGCTCAAATAATTATGTTAGTTGACATGATGCTGGT